TGGGGGGGGGGGGGGGAATAAATAAATAAATAAATAAATAAATAAATAAATAAATAAATAAATAAATAAATAAATAAATAAATAAATAAATTATGTTCATTTTATGTAGGTATTTTGCTATCTGTAAATATCTCTATACATGTCGGTTGGAACGCGATGCTAAATAAAATCAATGCGTATCCATACCTGTTTGTTTAATATACCCAGTTCCAAATGCTTAAAGAAGCTTAAGTATCACATTGGTCCTTCGAGCCGGATATTTAATCAAATAATCAATCAAAGTCAAATCAAAACGTACAACACGGGTGCAAGTAGTGCAGTGTATGGTTCATCACAAGATCAACAAAGTGTCTCGATAACAACCATTTACCGCTACTCGTGTGCAGAAGTAAAAAGTTCCTAAATGCAGTTAATGTGGAATGTACAGTGAATCACCATTTTGGATTACACGTTCGGCAAAGTCAAAATCTCATTTCTTATTACATTACATTGCAACATATTCCTTTAATCATGCGATCCTCAAAAACAACTCTCTGTAACAATTCGCACGCTTCAAATCAGCAAAACGCGATAGGCAAGAGGTAGCACTCACAAATTTCACAACAAGGGTAACAAATTTACAAAACGGACACCAATATCAATTAATTAAAAGGGCGTTTGGATTCAGTGCACCAAACCTTTCTCGAGTTCAATAAAATTTAAGATCAAATTGAATCATTAGAAGACAAAGCTCGAATCAATCAAGTCAGCTACACTCAAGTTTCTTTTACTCCTAATCAGGTAAAATTATTAACTATTCATCTTCCTACATTCGATGGTACTTTTGATCAATGGATCAAGTTTTACGACGCTTTCTAATCGGCCAGCGATGAAAATGAAAGACTCAGTAAGATGCAGAAATTGCAATATCTAAGAGGTAGTTTAACCGGTGATGCGTCAAAAACAAGCAAATCATTACCAATTAGTGCCCCAAATTACGATATTGGTTGGGATCGACTGTGCAAACAGCAAACAATTCCATAACAAAAAATTGCTGTGGCTAGCACATATACCATCCGCTCATCTGCTCATGCGCGATTCTGCCCTTTTATAATAAGTTTAAGTATACCAAATTTGGTTCCAATCGTTTCAGCCGTTTGGCCGGAAATAAGAATTTGACACTCTTGCGCATGCGCGATTCTGCCCAAAACTTCGACCCCCAACGGGTCATTGGATTTGACCCTTTTTGAATAGGCTTATTAGGCATATAGGTCAACTGTGCAAAGTTTGAACCAAATCGGTCCAAGCGTTTGACAATTATCGTGTTCACGGACAGACGAACACCATCGACTCCCCTATAAAGCTTGCATCGCTTTGCTCTGCCGCTTAATAAATGATCACTTAAGTTCCCTTATATTTTAAGATGGCGTACGGAGAAAGTGCTGGCCCAAATAATGCCAGTAAACCGTGTCGGAAATGCAAAAATATTGCCCAAAGTGGATTAAAATGTATTAAATGTGAAACAGTGTCGCATGTGAGCTGTGTAAAACTATTAAAACACGTTAAGAAAGTTGACGACAAGCTTATTAATTGTTGCTCTGATGAAAATGATCAAGATTCTAAAGGCGCAAGTGCAAAAAGCTCAAACGGTGAGACTCCTATCCATTCTACAGAAATTACCACTTAAAAGAGCTATTAGCTCACAAAGATACAATAATTGACAATCAAAAAACCGCAATCGAGGCTTTACGTGAACAAATTAGATTGTTAAATAAGTTAAATAACCAAAATAATACCTATGCGGCATCTGTTGGCAAAAATGTTAAACAATCAAAAAGTGACGCCTC